TGATATCTTAGGGATGTACCTAGCGATGGTACAGGGGTGATATCTTAGGGGTGTACCTAGCGATGGTACAGTGGTGATATCTTAGGGATGTACCTAGCGATGGTACAGGGGTGATATCTTAGGGATGTACCTAGCGATGGTACAGTGGTGATATCTTAGGAACAGACACTTACGCTGAAGGTGCAGAAGTTGACTTTGACAAAACTTTCCGTCCTGTTGTATCCATTCTTTGAATAATAAGATGATCGAGGACCATTTTTCGTTTTGCTCTCTCGATGATGTCTTCTTCAACACTTCCTTTTGATACGAGACGATAAATGTTCACCTAACCAATCAAAATCATATTAAAACAGTTAATTTAATGTACATTTCCATATCATTTTGTCATTCAACTGGAATATACTGTGTATCTTAATATGTTTACTTTTTTATTAAACATTCTGATTGGTTTAATATACTGTAAACTATGATTGGTTGATTTAAAAACACATACCTGGTTACGTTGACCAATACGATGTGCCCTAGCTTGTGCCTGCAAGTCATTCTGRGGGTTCCAGTCRGAATCAAAGATAATAACAGTATCAGCAGTAGCAAGATTGATACCCAGACCTCCAGCACGAGTWGACAAAAGAAAACAAAAGTCCTGAAAGAAAAAAGAAATCATCTTGGAACCCTTSTYTTTGTTTTTGGTGCTGCCATAGAAAAATCTCTCTCCAAGAAGGATATTTGCCCATTTTTTATATTTTCTTTTCTGTCTCCATTCCTTTTTCCTCTCTTTTTTTACGAAAAGGAAATTTTCTCATTTTTCATATTTTCTTTCCCATTTTCATCCTTCTTTTCCTATTTTTTCTGCAACTTACTTCAGAGCCTTCTGCATTGAAGTGATCAAGTGCTTTCTTTCTTACATCACCACGAATAGAGCCATCCAATCTCTACAGAAACAAGTACAGCATGATTTATAATAACACTGACATACATGATTAAATGACCAGCAAGACAGGACAAGTTTGCTACTCTTTGAAGAGACTCAGGGTATCTACATCCCTAACATTTTAAAAAATTATTTCTACTTTGCTTATGAGCCACAGGTAATTAAAAWATCACGTTACCTGAAACAGAAATCGCCTCATCTGTAGGTATTCAGCTAATAAATCCAACATCCTAACCATTTGTGAAAATATAAGTACACGATGACCAGTCTCCTTGAGTCGAACGAGAAGCTTGTCCAACAAGAACAGCTTTCCACTTCCTCTGATAAGATTCTAAATGGCGCAGAGAATCATACAATCATTGTCATGTCATTCTTTAAGGAAAGCATTAGCAAAAGCATACATTCGAAAAAAATGTACAAGCTGTCTCCTTAGTATCTTTTATGGATGAAAGAATTTAGTGACCATGCACATCCTTTGAAAGGACTTTAAGTATCTTTTAGTGTTCTTTATGAGAAGTTATTCTCAAATACCTGCAAAGCATCTAGACTTGGTGCTGGTGCATCTATAGGTCTTATCAAACTGGCATGATTACAGCATTTTTTCAACTCCATGACGATATTTAAAAAGCTGTTCATGTTCCCCTTCATTCCTTTATTGAGAGCCTTGAAGTTCTTCGTCAGAATCCATCTACACACACACATAAATAAAATAATCATTAGAGCAAATGCAGGAAAACCATGAAATAAAATCAAACTAAATACCAACAAATAGCGGCTATTTAGAGACAAATTGTCAGTATCAATGAACCAGAATGCAATAAAGACGAAGGATTCACCTTCATTGTGTTCTGGTTCATTGATACTGAGAAAGTTTCTAAATAGCTGCTATTTGCTAGTATTTAGTTTGATTTTATTTCATGGTTTTCCTGTGTTTGCTCTAGTAAACAAATGATGAATAAATTCTCTATATTTCGAGGGAGCAAAAACTCATCACTACACACATGAACTTGTAGCTCACTATTGCTAGTTTTCAGTTTATGTTATGGAAGCCATGTTGGATTGTTCCTCATAACTGTGGAAACATTCACAATGAAAACAAAAAAAATTTGTCTTGATAAATCAATTACCTGTAATATTGCTTTTGCACGGAAGACATCTCAACTCTTAATATTTGCTCCACCTAGCAACCAATCAAATATTTAAAGATATAAATCAAGTTTTTAGTGCCATCCCTTAAGCACTGATATATATTGGAAGTGTATTATGTTGTGATGCAGAGAGGAAGAAGTCCACAAGAAAGGTAAATCCCCAAAACAAACACCACATCGCTGTAACTCCATGTTGCAATACCTTACACAGACTAATTAGTAAGACAGAAGAACTCTGGAGCTTATTAGTTCATGCATTTTAATGAACATGAAAACATCTTATTATTAAGTGCTGCAAATCTCAGGTATCAAAAAAATCAAAATAATTTACTTTTGCAGGGAGAGACTTTTCAACATCTTTCTTGACTCTTCTTAGTAAAAATGGCTCAAGTTCTTTATGCAAACCAGAAAAACCACTATCTCTTTGTTCTTGTGTTGAGTGAGCATGTTCAAATTCCTCCCAACTATAAAACCTAAAAACAATATCATAAAAAAAACAATTAGCAATAAAACCTATGTATTTTATTATGGGATCAGCTACTTCCTCATACGATTGTATTTTATTATATTTATGTTTTCCAAGATAGGAAATACAGCCTTCCTTGACAAATGCACTTGTGACAAGGAAGAGAAAACCAAAAATCTCCCAAACTTCAGCTCATCGGTATTAATTACATGTAGGTGAAATAATTTTGCTACCTATCAGGCATTAGAAACTGTAATAAAGCCCACAGTTCCTTCAAAGAGTTCTGCAATGGAGTCCCAGTGACAAGAAGTCGATGGTTGGTGTGAAATTCTTGAAGAGTTTTGTACAGTAAGGAGTCGTCATTCTTTAGACGATGTGCTTCATCTACAACCAGGTTGGCCCAGTTAAAATCACCAAGAATTTGCTATTTGAAGAAGAAATAAATGTCAAGTATTATGACAATATAAATAACAGTAATACAACAAAAAATGTCTTACCTTATCTTTTAGTACAATCTCATAAGTCGTTAAGAGTGCATTGATTTTTAACCTTTTGTTCTTGTGTTTAAACTCATGTTCACGAATCTGAAGAATGGAAAAAATTATAAAGATGTCAGACAAAAAACAACAGTTTTGCTTTGATACAAGAAAGCTCTGTGAACTGGTACAGGTACAGGAACTCCAGTGTTAGGGATGGACATGCATATAACAGTTAAGTCCAAACTATTCATTCAAAGCTTGGTTCCACATTAATGGAGACTTTGCCATTAAATATCTTTCAAAAGATAATTTTGCAAATGCTTCAAGAGAAGTGCAATGTGGCTTAGTTCTTCAAGGCCTTTCTATGATGAGAAAGCACTTTGTCTTTGTCCTTAACTTATAATATTGTTTAAACTGGTCATACCTTAGCTCTGCTGGTAACGTCACCAAGGTAAACAACTACATTCATTTGGGGTCCCCATGCAGCGAACTCCCTCTGCCAAGCAGCCAGTGTTGACAAAGGAACCACAACAAGAAAAGGTCCATACAATGCGTGTGTATGAAATAAATAATTTAAAAATGATATAACTTGGATAGTCTTTCCAAGGCCCATTTCATCAGCAAGAATTGTAGAGTTTCCTTTACACCATGCATTTACCAGCCAGTTAAGACCATCTAATTGGTAGTCTCGTAGCAAGAGACTTCCTCCAGGTCCAATATAAACAGGCTGCCTTTTAATGAGKGAAAACTTTGGACGTTGCCGTAATACTTTTGCACTTTTTGTTGGRATTTTGTCWGACCTTTCTCTGTTCAAATAAGCATCTATTTTTTSTTGGAAGTATCTTGATGTTARTGAGCCGTCCTCCCATGTACATTCRCCATAGGGAAGACCAAGCCACTTACACAGGTAATCCACCTGATTATAGCTGTTTCCAAGTTCATCTGTGTTGGTAACTGTTGTGTGTGCTGAAAATGACATGAATAGGGTTGGGATACCTGTGTTAGTGACAGAAGAGAGAAGATTGGGGCAAACTATTATGGCTTAWTGACCCTTATTGCACTCTTAATCTAATTTCAGAAAGTAGAAATATCTACTCTTTTGCAAATGTGGCATTAGCACAATTAGCTTAATGTGCATTTTTTTACTAACTGTATATGATTACTCACAGATAATTCGCTCCACTTGTCTGTGTTCCTCAATCAGCTCACTGTTCATCTCTTGCTGGACTTCAAAGTATTCAATATCCTCTGGGAAGGCCATCTTTTTCCTTTATAGTAAATATAGTTCAACAAACTAATATTAATTCATGAAATTAGGAAAGCTTTTAATTTTGTTTAGRYRSCTTTGCTTGCTGGTACTACACTGTAACCATTGAAGAAAAGTTATTTTTAACTTACCAAACTCTCACGTCATGTTCCCTTTTCATAAAATTTTCAAGCTTCTTCATTCCTTTTACTTTTTGGTCATTTAACGTCTTCTCGCTTTCCCAAGTGTTATGCAGGTGAGACCATCCCTTCCATTTTATCAAGTATTGATTTTCAGTTTCCTCTTTCTCTGGATCAGGGGGACCCCTTTTGTCTAACTCCTCTTTTTCAAAGGCATAAAATGTAGTTTTGGCACCAGTTTCATCTGAACGACCCACCCTGGAATCTATAATTCTCTCTATTGTTTCTCGATCGTCTTCAACRTATTCTTGTTCTTGCCAATCGGCACTGGCTTCTATGACATCATCAGAGTCTGTTTCATCATCACTTTCTTCTTTATAACTATTGAAATAAATTAAGAAAATGAACAATTGCACATGTTTGTAATAAATAAATAAAAAAAATAAATAAATAAATAAACAATTGTATGTTTATACTCCCAATCATCATCATAAGAAATCTATAACCCCCATAAACTGCTTTTCAAGATAATTCATAGAACGGTGAATAGTACTGATTTACCTTGTCATCTTGACAGCTGCCTTTCTRATTGAGCTTGCYCTTGATACATCATCATCAGAATCTGAAGCTTCACTCTCGCTGATTGGCTGCTTGATTTTATTCCTTTTGAGTACGGTAGTWGGTTTAGGTTTTGGCATAAGTTCATGTCTACTTGGCATTAAAGGTTGGGATTGCAYAGGGGCTGCTCGTGCTCTTGCTCTRGGCTGTGGGCGTGGTCTTTGTCGGGGTGCTTCAGGAGTGTAGCTGTCACTGCTTTCACTCCCTGAGCTATCTTTATCTGATGTCAACATGGACCAATCTTCACTGGATGACAATCTATTTGCTCGTTTACCATTTTTGGATTTTTTCTTTTTTCTCACTGGCCCTGCTATCTCATCATCGTCATTTGATTCCTAAAAYAACAGTCATTGTTGAGACAATCTTGAGACAAGTCTGATAATATGTCTATGTGTGTATGTGTGCAAGCACTGCAAACAAAAATATGGCAGCAACATTTAATGTTGCCAGTCTTTAGGAACTTGTAGATCAAAATGTATYGTAACTCTATCAATAAATATCACATGTTTACCTCAAGTAGTATGTTAAATCTTTCAGGTTCCTTTCTTGCTCTTCCTGATCTTCTGATKCCATACATTTCTGGAGATTCTTCCCAGAACTAAAATATAGACAATTCAGGGTCATGTCATTATTCACTACTAATACATCAAACATATAATATATTTATATATGGACTGTGTGGCACTAGGAAAGACATTACGTTAGTAATAATGGAAAGATATTTTGCTTAGAAAGGAGGTTATTCCAAGAAAAAGACCAGGGTCTTCCTTTTTAACCACTATTTCTAATTTTATAACATACAGTGTATTTTGAATCATTGCCAACTTTCTGCAAAAAGAAAATCTGTTTCTTGCTCACTTGAAAATTCCCTACGATTTTGCCTTTTCTTGTGACAATTTATGCACAGGTTATAATTTAGATGACAACCCATCTTCAAAAATGATGTACATACCCTATCTTTAGCATTGCCAAGACCAAGTTTATTCAAATCAGGCGAAGTTGGATCAGGAGAAATAACATCTATAGGTGAAATTTGCTCCTCTATTTCTTGCTGCATGTCATCTTCACTGGGTTTAATTGGATGGATATCACGGATATGGTGGACAGGCGGGTGGACAGGGGCCGGGGGTTGTGCATGCGATTGCTCTTCTTCCTCCTCATCAGAATCAGATTCTGATTCACTACTGCTGTCTGATTCATCAGTATCAGAATCATAATCAGTCCTATATGTATAAATACAGGATGAAATATYAATATATAATCATGTGATGGTCCAGACATGGTTAGCAATCTTGATAAAAACATGATGGGATATTTACTCAAATAAGCTTAAATCAAGCTTCTCTCACATTGAAATTGGGTAATGGTACTTCATTGAGGGAGCTATGCTATAAAATGGTATTTCATTCAAGGAAGAGGGGGGGTGGGCTCTTATTTCAGTAAATATAGTGGCAATCATTATGTTATGATATTTTGAACCAAATATAACAGCACCACGGCATTGACTGACCAGCGCATTGTCTATGAACTGGACCAAGATTATCATATTCTATACTCTTTTTCTTTACACCTGTTGTTGTCAAATAAACATTGGAAATTTGTTGKTTTTTTTTTATACTAAATGAGTCTACAATATGTCTTCATATCTTACACAATGATTTATTCCTGTTACCTAAATTTATTATACACCTTTTTTAAAAACCTACAATGCAATAAAAATAGCACTGTAGTCAAAAGAAATTTTTTGCTAAATTTTCACTCAAAATGGTGTAATAAATGGTTTGGTAGAAATGTTTTAAAAAATGAGAAAATTTAACAATTTCACAAAAAAATCTAGGATTGCACATTCAATACAAATTCACAGGAAGGAGAAATACAAAAAAATAAAATAGAATTTAATACAACAGAGCATGAAGCATTATAAATATTTTAAAATCGATGATTTTGAGATCCTCACATGCGGTCAAGCACATGTCTATAGCTTACAACAGACAAAAAAATATACTAGCTTATTATTWGTAGGTGATGTTCTTCCCGTAATAATATTCCGAAATATAAAGGGAAGCATTTAAAAATGTTCGGAACTCCTAATAATCTCAAAATGAACCACTCAGACAGACATTGACCACAAAGACCATAACATGCCCATACCCAATRTGGCAACAMTAAATCAATGAAAATCTTACACAGAAAATACATATTTTGAATCYAACTAAAACAGGAGAACTTTGTTTTAAGCCACATTATACTTCTATGCAATGTTATAGACATCTATTCACAAAAATATTGTTTCGCTGCATTTGAAATGAACACTGCAATGCAGACAGTCCGCCATGTTGATTTCAAGGAACAAGAAACAAGCGAGTCTGGTAAATTATCATATAATTCCATTAAGGTGTACATGAAATCGGCTAATTCGAGCAAAAACCTCGTGAAATTCAACCAAAAGTTCTTGCAATGTAAAGAAGGAGAATCAAGAGTTTATATCGAATCGACAAAACACCGGGAAACATGGAAATTCTCGTAAAAATCGACACGGAATCCATTTCAAGACAATGCGCTTCAAACAATAAAATGGTGCCACAACGATCACGAAYGGTTTTTTATTCGTTCAATATACCTAGAATTTAGTCCAGCATTTCCTTTTCCTTGCTGCCATCCCCCTGTATGCCCAAGGGAGGGAGAACTCTGAGGGTGGATAGCTGAGTTTTGAGTGCGGAACATTGGGAAACCGTTCTGATCGTTGTTCGATAGAACGTCTACTTCTTCATCGCTTTCGCTATCGGCCATCAAAGGGGTTGAGGATTAGGTTCGTTGTTGAGGCCTTCAATCCGTCAGACTCTGTTGGTTTTGTCCTAGGGACTATAGTATTGAAAGGCATGTGTGTTTAGGTTGAGTTTTAGGGGGGTAAAGAAGTGCTTTTTATTGAGAAAAACTGTAAAAAATACAGCCGAGGGATGATCACAAAAGGAAGAGGTCATAAAGACATAATCACAAGAAAGTTTGATGTTATTTAAGCTAATAAAATGCTTCAAAATTTACAAAAAATGTCTTAAAATCACCATTGTTGTCGCTGTATTCCCTCGATCTAGTCGAAGGAAGATGGAGAAAAAAGACAAAATTCAAACAATCGCTCGAATAAAGAGACATATGCATTGCCATGTGGTCTTTTCAGATGTCTTTGGAAGGTCTTGAGACATCTCTCACAAGAGCGTTACACCCTAATCGATTCCAAACCACCTTTAGCGGTGTCAGACATCGAAAATCTTTAAAATGGCGGCAGGAACGGAGTCAACGTTTGAATCAAAGAAACAAGCGAACTTCTAACTAGTTTAGAACGCAAAAAAGGTCTTAGAACTAAACAACGAGTCAACTTAATGACCTAAAATGGCAAATAAACTGGAAAAAAACGAACTTGGAAGTGACAAACAATGAAAACAGCTCCTAAACAGCAAAAATAAGAGAATTTGACAAGAGCAAGGCTCGAACAACCTCACCTCCCTGCCTCCATATTGAATGCACTGCTGTAGTCTTGATGCTTGCTCCCTTTGTCTGATACACCGAACAGCATCATGGTCCACAGCCGAAACGCGCATGTTCGATATCTCTGTCACATGACCTACAACCAATAAAATTTAGTGTATTTATTATTTATCCTTCAACTTTTTTTCAAAAACGACCAAAAAACTTTGATTTACTCAAAATTTATAATTGAGTCTGATAAYATTAAATTGGAGTTTAGAATTCTCGCTTAAAGAACTTATTTTTTGAGGAAATTCATTTTAAAATATTCCCACAATGCACTGCTAGAGAGCTTCCCGCCACGTCACCAAAACCAACATGGCTGCTTTGTAATGTTACTGCGCATGCCAWTGACGTCTTTTCTAAAAATAACTCACTTTGTGGTGATGCTGTTTTCTCCACGTATGTAAAACCATCGTGAACGACAATCCAGAAATATTCCGATCAACAATGGCTGTGGAAGTTGTTCGCTCTGTTGTWGAACTAGATCATCTCTATGCTAAACAAGAAGAAGATATTTTGGGCCTAAATAAAGATGTGAATCTTTCTGAAGCAATCGACAGTCTGGTACGTACATCATGTATTTTCTTGAATTAACCGCAGTCTTGTCAAACGAAAGCATGTTGTTGCTGAGCCAAGACTGTTGACATCCCAATAACATGGACAGTGTAACAGAAATTCAGATAAAAACTCGATTTTTGAGATCAGTCAATTTAAAATTTGGTTTCAAATTAATTTTCTAATTATTCTAGCTGTATCTTAGTTCATGTGTGATTGACAGATAGTGAAGAGATGAATCTAGGTTATAAGGTTGTCATGTCCTGCTAAATTGAATACTCAAACAGAATATAAATTATCTCTTTTAATTCTTTTTAATTGCATAGTTTGTTTGCTGTTTGTTTACATGTTTATAATTACATCCTCTTCTAGGCTGAGCTAAGTGAGACTGACCTCATCAACTTATTCTTTGGCAATAACGATTCAAAGATTGAAGACGTCCCATTTTCAGCTTTTGACGAGCTGCAACTTTCCCCAGCCAGTGACAGCACATCATCCGAGTCATATATGACCCCAAGCCCTGAAACCATGGATTTTGATAGCCTGTCATCACCAGAAGGGCTYTCCAACTCAAATGATGATTTTGCCATCAGTGTTGATTTGGGTGAGTAGAAAAAGRTGGTTTACAGTAACCTTTTGATCACATGTGTWACTGTTGTTTATAKTTGCCATGTGACCAACCCAGACAGATGTTGCACYTTGCAAAAAAACATGGTAAAAACTGCCAYTTACCTACTTAGTTGATTGTTTGATAGAGTTTGATTGCCAACATTCTAAATATTGCAAATTGAATTGTGATTTTTGTCTGGGATGGTCATTAACAATCTAAACAATGCTGACCATTCATCATTGTTTTAACTGATAAACTTTAAATTGACCTTGTTTTACTAAATTGCACAGATTGGCTATCAACGTTAGATGAAGGTATCGTACCAGTAAGTGAAGCCCCAGTCCAACAGCCAGTCACTGTTTCACAGTCCACTTCAATTGATATCCTTAATGAACCCATTGTGTCGTCAACATCTGCACCAATGGAAACACCAGTCAAGTCAACGTACAGACCTTACAAGAAACCAGGGCTTCCCTTAGTACTATCTGAAGAAGAACAGAGATTATTAGCTGAAGAAGGAGTCTCTCTTCCAACTGATGTCGCATTAACAAAAGTATGAGAAAATGATTTATTGGAGATGTGACGTTAATCTTTCCTGTCAATCATCCCATCCATGTTTGCATTCATCTTTATTTTTATCCATGTTTTCATTTATCCCACTATTGCCTTTTATCATTTATCCATCAGGAGGTATTTACTTACGCAATGTGTGATATTTATGTCATTTTTCTTTCTTTTTTAATAAGGCTGAAGAAAGAGTACTGAAGAAAGTTCGTCGAAAAATTAAAAACAAGGTAAATGAAATACTTGTAATTGTTCCCAAGGCAGTCAAAATTCTAACAAAATAATTGAATTTATCTTTAGCAATCAGCACAAGAAAGTAGGAAGAAAAAGAAAGATTATGTTGATGGACTTGAGAAAAGGTAAAAGATACATGTAATTCATATTCCTGACTACAGCAAAAAGTTGTGCATGTTTTTTCCTCACAATTTTTTGTGCATTTTGTTTATTTTGAACTTTATTCCTATTTTTTTTGCAGAGTACAAGTTTGCACTGAACAGAACAGAAGTCTACAAAGAAAAGTTGATCAGCTTGAAAGTCAAAATAAGTAAGTTATATCAAGTAATACAAAACAAATCAATAAATGCAGAAAAAAATTCAAAAAGAAAAACATTTTTGGCTGAATAATCTTTTCTGAAAATATAATGAATTACAATGTGGACATTTTTCTGTGTTAGTTAAGAAATAAATTGATTTTATCTGATCAGAGAGTCACACATTTTATGTCTTGATTCTATGCTTTAGTACTTCATCTCATAAAATGGTTTTTGGTTGAATGTAATTAATCATCCTTCAAAATTTATCTTATATGATAACCCAATAAACTTTAAACTTTAATATCATTTCAGCTCACTACTTGCACAGCTAAAACAACTTCAAGCCATTGTTGCATCRACCCATCCCACCAAAACACAAGCAGGGACTTGTCTTATGGTTCTTGTCTTGGCGTTTGGTTTAGTGCTCTTTCCTCTGAATAACAATGTCAAAGATACCACAAACCCAACTACTGTTTCATCATATGCTACTTCCAAYGGTAAGTGCCATTTCCTGGTAAATAATGGTTTCCTGGAAATAATGCCTACTGTAATTTGCAATGATAACACTGTGTCGTCTTTTGTGATATCTTGTACAGTCAGAAAACATTTGGCTGCTATTTCAGATAAAAGACTTCTTAAGGTCTAGAAATATGAGATACAAAAGCCTTCAACTTGTCTCAGAACATTTTTGCTGTCAAATTTGGTGCCAATGATTCTTGTTTAACAACTTGCCTAAGTACTCAGGCAACTTGTCATCCAACAAAAAACAGGCCATGAAAAACAAGAAAAACTGAAGCTAAACTTGAACAGCAACAATGTTGAATGACAAGTTGATGTTTTTTTGTAYCTTATATATTYCTCAGYCTTTAAATGTAGCTTGTTTTGAACCTCATAATGATGTCTGGATGTTTTTGTAAAATTTTTACACAATATTGTGTTCTTGAATATTGACATTTTCCTTGCAGTTCGATCACGCACGCTTCTACAAGTAAAYGATGACTATGTTCATGACGAGGTTGTAAACACAGCCAAATTAAATCCCAATGGATCAGACGTATATTTACAGTCAATTGAACTTAACTGGAATCAAGGTGATAACATGGAAAGCTTAAAGGATTTGAGCACAACTTTGAACCAAGARGAAAACAAGGAGAATGTAAATCCAGAAAAGCCAATGAGGACTGAAAAAAGGTGATTGACAGGAAGGATGTAATATCGACAATGCATGTTGTTGCTATATTCAGCAATTCTTGCATGTAAATTTGTAATAATTATTGTTCATGGTATATTATGATTTAATAAAGATAAATTAGATTTTATCATCTAAAGATGAGTGTCTCTACCAAGACCACAATAAAAAGACTTAATACCATTTTCACAAATTACTTTCAATTCATTATATTAAAATTGATTTTTGTATTATCACAAAATTAATAATCATGTACCTTTCTATAATATTTCAGTAACATTTTGTAAATATWAATTCATTATTACAAAAAGTTGACAGAGAATTCTCGCGGGCGGTCTTGGTAGAGACACTAATGTAAATATATACTGTATAAATCATATGTTATATTGGTGTAACAGAGAACAAACAGTGTGCAAAATAAATAGTAAATTATGCCAATTCAATTATTTTCTATTCACAGCATGTTTTTTACCTCTAAATAGTGCYAAATGTTGCACACTTTTAGTGTCTGAATGTTTCACATGAATGTTTTTATGACTTCGCTCTCTAGTTAGTAAAACTACAATTATGTTTCCCAAGGTATAGAATACTGACAACCTCATTGTTCGCAATGTAAATATCAGATTTTTTTTACCATCACAATAATCTTTATATCAAAATTATGTTATATATAAGGTCTTCAATCTTTTTTGTAAATAATCCCATAAATTATACACCATACAAATAAAAGATGAGCTTGACATGTGTTTGTTTTTATAATTAATTTTATTTGTACATCTGCAAAAGTTATAAATAAATACAATATATATTAACATATTTTTTTAAATTAATAATTATCAGTAGTTCATGCATGTGAAAACTAACATTTCAAATCAGTAACTTTTGTATGTGGTCCTTTTCTCATTGATTCCTCAGTTCAAGACAATTTTAWRCTGGGAATTGTTTCTTCCAATGATGAGCTAATAAGCAATTATTAGCGTATTTATAAGCTACAACACTTTAGCAGCTTGCTAATGAGTAAATTTACATTCATCTTTTTTGCAATTTCACTTTCTAAGAAGAGYGTTCGACCTTGTGCCTTCAGATTCCAAGCTTGTTTGTTTATGTAAGTATGTGCGCTATCCATGTTCAATTACATTYTTCAATGTGCATGTTCATGTATCTTCTGTTCTTCATCACAGCTAAATGATCTCTACTGGTTCTGTAGGAATGTTTGTCATGACTTTGACTGAGTTGATACAAGGCTTAGTCTACTATTRTTTAATTCATCTCCAATTGCTCTCAAAGCAGTTCCAATTTCTTTTGATGCTCCTCTGTTGTCTTGTCCAAAAGCTTGTCCTGAGCGACTCCCAGTCCTTCGAATCTGTGCCTGATTTCTGTCATCTCTGGAAGATCTCCTTCGCCGCAAAGAACCCAGGGATCTTCTGATTTTACTGGAGCTCCGTCGGAGGAACTTAAAACCCATAAAGTCTACAACATAAAAACAAAATTTAGATGTCAYGCGTTACATGACGTTACRATTTAACAGTGTTGCGTGACATGAGTCATAAACTGTACGTGTTGAAAATGAASTGGACTTTGGTTTGTAATTTCTCAAGATAAGAAGACAATCTATAMAATTACTACAAGTTAACGATTTAAAGTCGAAATTAAAATAATTTTGTGAACTGCTAGTTCATTACATACGCCAACACAGAAGTGTAAAAAAAAAAAGAAAAACGTGTGAAAGTGTGCTAATTCAGGAAATTAGAACGATCTGCTACCAATTGTAGTAAAGCTGAGACCTGTTTGATAAAAATACTTTTGAGTTTCACTTTCGTTACCTGAACGTTTCGTGTTGAAGTCCTTCTACTTCTTCCYTTGTTGTGTTTTCGATTTACAATTTGTCTCGGTTTATAAAACCTACAAMCTAACGAAGACCTTTATACAAACCATTACATCATTAAAAGACGATGACGCACAGAGTGATTCAGCCAATCAGAAATATTCTTATGACTCAAAAAAATCCCCGATGTCACGTTTGCTTCCGCTACATGCCCATATACGGAAATGCAAGGAACTACGTCAACACGTTTAGTGTCTATAATTTATCAAAATAAAAACACAAAGTCAAGGTCTAATTTTTTCCGTTTTTTCGGGGAACTTGGAAAAAAATGCTTTCCCAAAAATAACCGCAAATTAATAACTTTGCAATGCACAGAAAAAATATTATAACATCCTAAATATTCGATACACGAAATGGCATATTCTACGATATTCTGAACAAGTAATTGTAGCGGGTTTTGCCATAATTCTCGCGGTGTTTGTATGCCAATTATAGAACTTTTGTTTTATTTATTAATAAACAGAAAAATGAATGGAAACTAACACCCTATCATAACTAATCCTGAATATGCAATTGAAAGCAAAAAAAATAGGAGATTCACTTTGCTATAATAATACCATATAGAASTGAACCAAAAATATATAATAAAATGCTTTATAACGAGAAAGAGTGTTGGATTTTTTTTCAGTTGTCATCGATCTAAAACAAGACCGTCACGTTTCCGGAGTCCTATTGTTACACCCGTCCTGCCTTGAGTCACGAGTTCTTGCGAGTTCCCCGTCATCAAATGCCTAACTATCCAATATAACATTTTACATTTCTGTGGGTAAAACGTTGAAGGTTTATAAAGAAGTTAAAGACAACCTAATTTGAGGTGAGAAAACTAGTAACTTTGAACATTTATCATACTTGTTGACAGTGTTGAAATCGCCATTTTTCATTATCATATGACCACGTCACGATCTATCTAGGGGAAGTTGCATTCTGAAGAGTTTTCAAAGTTCAGCAAAAGTAATGAAAAGCCGGTTACAAGTTTTATTTTTAAACTCATTTCAWATGTCTGCTTAGATTGCATGAAATGAGGTAGTAAAATTTTGGAAAGATTTGAACATAAGAAAACTGATTTTCTCAGGTTTTCTGCCGATTAAGTCTCACCCTGGGGATCAGATGTTGGAATTTACCCTTTCTTATATTAGAGGTTATTTTGAGGCTTTAGTACTTGACGCCTTTTAAAAATAAGCTCATAAAAAGGATAAATTCAAACCTCTGCTACCCAGGGTGAGTCATTCAATAAAGTGGGAAATAAAAACATAAGTTGCTTTACGGCCATTCTAAATACAAGGCAGTTTATTTCGAAAAATTAACTAACTTCAAAATCAGTTTATTTTTTGAATCGAGATGTTTCCATTGTATTATGCGATAACCTTCGACTGATTGCATGTGATTGCCTATAAACTGTRCAAAGTACAACGAAAGGACACCGAACAAAGCTGGCATAAACAAACTCATTTAGACCGATAAACAAGCGCCAGATTAAAGTCTAAATACCCTAAATAGAATGGTTTTCATATACCCTTAAAACATACTTAAGCTTTCTGCACTTTGTAACTCTTAAAGGGACACTGTCAATGGATGGCATGCGCGATTAAACTTGAAAACACTAGGCTAGTGTTTTCAAGTTTATGACTCCAAGTTGGCGCGACATAAATCAGATCGTAAACGTAAACAGATCTAGAATATTCCAAAGCACCACAAAATGATTTACCTCGAAGGCTATACTTTCAAAGTCCGTTAGAGGTGAGACTGTTACTGCGCATGTCATCTATTGACAGTGTCCCTTTAATGCACGTGTTCCAATGTATCATGACGGTATTAAACTTTGACCATAGTAAGTAGGGAGAGGTGGTGTCCTCCTGTGTTAACTATGCGTTGACTATTACTCTTGTTTCACGGGTTTATCAAGACACTTTGCGAGTTTCTTACTCATCCCATTATTTATTTATTTTTAATTTTATTTATTTATTTTTCGTCTTTTCGACCAACTACACTTCAAAAATAATTTAGTGGGTATTTTAGAAAATTYAGCCACCGGAGAACAAAATTTATTCAAATTGTATCGTAATCATTATCATCGTTGTTACGCTGAAGAATGCAATAGGACAGCGTGAACGGGAAGTGGACGGGAAGCTCGTTAACGTAAAGCAGGAAACGTTAGGTAACGTTAAACACGCTATAACGATATGTCAAAGAATGGCTCTCGCGCGCAGTGTTTAGTGGCTGCTAGGAATCACGCATCACTGTCTCACTGCGTCAAATACGCACTACACATACAGTCATGTATAATGCGTTGAGTTACGTTGTATTTGAAGACACGCAACGACAAGTCTCAGTGATCCGTGAACACTGACACGCACGATGCTCTCTGCCGCAATTGTTTTGGGAGTGACTAACACGTACGAAAGACAAGTTCTTTTTACGCTAGAACAATTGCGTTACGGGCCTTGWCTTGCACTGCTTGAAGCGCAACCGATCCGTCTGAGCAGTCTCTTGAGTGCCAAATTAAATTGGAACAATATGCAAAATAATCCATTACCACGCCCAGCACTCTGATGCGCCGTTACGGACTATTAATGTGTTCAACGGCTTTGGACAGCCGTCAAAACGGCTAACGACTAACGTCAAAACGGTACCCGAGATACGGAAGTATAATGTCGTATTTAAGCGCAACTAAACCTCACGTTCTTTGAAGTAACCGCTAAGGACAACCAGTTCAACAGTACGTACTGTTTAATTTTACTGTTTAATTTTTGTCTCGATGTGAAAGGGTTATCATTTTTCGTATTTGATAATTTTCATGTTTAAATTCACTGTCATGAGAAAGCGAAATAAAAACAATGRTGGCAAACAAAATGAAGGGTGAAAGAAGATAGGCAAGGACTCAAAACAAGTGCGCCACATGATATCATTGGTGTAAAGGTAAGTTGAGTTTATTCATGGTCTACGATACAGGCGCTTCCTCCCTTTCTGACTCCGAAACTGCCTCCCCCTAGCGACGTGGATTGACATGGTGAGGGCCTATGCTTCCTACATACGACGAGCGAACAATCCAGGGTTCGACTCCCAATGGCTGTAACTATTTTCTTTGTTCTTTAAATTATATTCTTTTCATTTGATATTCTCGACAGATGTAAAATCCTTGCAAAAGCAAGACATTGATTCTGCACAATTTCAATGATGGCAACTGTCGCTTACATGATGCCGCAATTTCATTATTTTCAAGCTAAATCAGTGAAATTTAAATTTTTACCAAATATCGAGCACATCTTTAAGGACCTATGCCGTGCCACGAAGAGGACATGTAACATCGAGCACATTCTACGCCCGAATATTTCCGCAAAGAAATGCTATATAATTCTAGAATAATGTAATTTTAAATGTTCTACAAAGACATGAATGTCACATTTCAATACGAGTTAAAGCGAATTTGAAATGACGTCAGCGAGACCCAAGAATATCACTCTCCCTCGATGCAAGCCCTGACTGGAAATTTAGCCTGCGTTGTCAGGGTTTCTCATCCTRTCCGAGGGAGTTGGGCCTGATAAAACCTGAATCGGCTCGAACGCCTGGGGCTTTTTTCCCATTATTACGTAGTGGGGRAGGGAGGGGAAGGGAGGGTGTGACTTGGGAGGGATACTCTGGGGACTTCGTTTCGAGAATGTCCCTCTTGGACGTGACTGCCTCAATCAGTAATTAATTAGCACAATGGGTCAAGATACTAGTAGCAAATCCCGGCGGTTTCTTTTCAAAATTCCTTAATTACCTGATCATGATTTTCGAGTATTTTCTAATCATTAAGTGTCATGCAATATATCTCTTTCATTTGTTTCTTATTTACACTTTTATGTCATAAATTGAAATCTAACGTTTTGGCATAGTTTGGTAAATAACTTTATAGTGAAGATCTAACCACATTGAGCCCATTATTTTCTATTTTTTACTATTTTTTTAGAGAAACAGTTTTACAGTATCAGCCAATGCTGTAGTACTAACAAATATAGACAAGGGAGCACTTACATCAGTCATCACCACAGGAAGCCCAAAGAAATCCTTTAGCTGTCCGGGTTTGTCAGTTAAGAGGATTTGCAAGCTGAATTAGCTAATTGCTATCTTTCTATCGGTACCTTTGAACAAAATTAACATAAGAACGTTATTGTTCACTTTCACACCAACTCGAATAAGTGAATCTAATTTACATGACTTTGCCAAGATCCGCTGTGTTTTTTTAAGCGTTTCTTTGCTTTTTATAACCCATTCGTGCAAATTGTTGTTTCCACTTCTCTTTATCTCGCTTTAAGGTGGCTATTAGATGTAATCTCTGACAGCGTTCAGCTTGTGCAGCTTTCGTGAGGGCTGATTTGCGTGCGTGGTGAACTGGGCACGTGTATAAAACATACGTCAGAACATGAACACCAATCTCACTTTATTGACGTCTATTCTATTTAGCACGGAACGCAAGGAAGACATTGATATAACAGATATAAAGATAACCACGCAGTAAGCCAACCATCATGAGAGAGACATTACGGGTAGAAAGTGGTGCACAAGAGTCCATGACGGTAAGTGATATTCATTGTAAAGCTACTGTTTCTTAGAAATAAGTCAACTGAATGTTTATAACTATATTTATGATACTCCAAGAAACAATACGGACGGAAACTCCAGTAGTTGATTCATAGGACTTTTAACCATTGTCAACTACTTACTAAGTTGCAATTAAAATTGAATCCAACTCGAGATTTTTTTAAGGAAAAAAGCTTCAGTTCAGTTTTGGTTGTGAGTAGAATTACAATGTCAATAYGTCGTTATTCGAGATTTGTGGCGGGTTTTTTTTTGCCAGTTTTCCCATGCAGCTTGGCAGTTCAAGGTATTAAATTTATCCCTRCTGTTTTCATAGAAACGATGTCCACTCTAATGTCAATGACGTAAATTCCTTTTCGAATACGGACAGTATTGCTTGGTCTATTTACAATCAAAATTTATAAATCTTTTCTTAGAAATAAGGTCATCGCAACGGTAACAGCATTGAAAAAGATAGTTTTCTTAACGAAATAAAATCCTGCTTTAGGTTCTGTTTCTTTTGTTTTCTTTCTCATGAACCTTTTTTTCCAAGATGTTTTATTTGTTCTTAGACATCCAATTCAATTGAGTTGACTGAAAATCTGCTAGCAAGACCTTTTAACAGTGTTGGAGGTACCCTTTTCAACCAGACGACCGATTTCGATTACACGTACCATATTTCTGTAGTGTTCACCGCATCTTATGTACTTGATATTGATATYATTTTTCTTTTTTCAGTTGATATTTCTTTAAAGAAAACGATTTATTCTCATTAAGTTTATTTCGCAAACAACTAATTGTACTAGCTCCCAAGGAAAGCAGGAAAGTTCCAGATTGTCGATGTATGCAAATTATTTATCAAAAAAATGGACGTTTCCGTCAAAATATCCAAAGAAAACGTTTTTTTTAGATTTTTGTTYCTTTTCAATGATAGTTCTGTATAAATGCTGCRCTAGCACAAAACTGCTCGGCAGCTAGCCAAACGATACCAAAGTGAACTGTKCATTTTGTCGCGTTTCGATGTAAATTCTGGCCAAATATTTGCTTTGCATCTAAGATCTCTTCAGGTCTGTCATTCAAGGCCCAGGATACGTGACATGGAATGACATTAGTGACATTTTACATATATTATATTSACGACTTCCGTTTTATAAAATACAATCGATTTTTTTTATGTATCAGTGTGACAGAGCGCATGACCATTTCATATGGCGTGACATAGCGTGACACCTTTTAGGACGCTATAATGCATTTAATTGACGACACGGTAGCGTGACATATCTTTGCGTGACATTAATTAGTATGACGTGTGGCTGCTCCTATTTTAAGACTTTACTGTTGCAATCAATCGTTAATAGTTGTACCAGTAGTATGGCTAGAACTGGCCAATCAAAGCCACCGTTTGAAAACACCAGCCAATAGGAACGCTTGAACTTTGCAGTTATTAGCAGGTGGAACAGGTACCCAAAACAGGAAAAAAATCCCTGCACCACATTCTCGAGAACAAAAAACTAGATTGTCCTAGAATTACAACCTAACACAAGGAAAATAACTTGATGTTGATTCTGCTGACTTGCAGATGAAGAGGATGAACGCAGGTCAAGAAGCAGGCAACGACGCGGTACGGAAACTTCACCAACAAGCTCACTTCCTCGCTAGAGATATCGTGTGTTACAGGACGGGTAATGGAGAAGTATCTCGAAACCTCACGGCACAAAACATGCGTCGGCTCAGTGACGAGCTTGAACAATGTCACCATCTTTTACTGAACAATATGTGTAATACTTTAAACATGACTTCCGATACTGCACATCAGAAATTTGTACAAATTGCAGACGAAGTGTTCCGCGATGGAGTCAACTGGGGAAGAATCGTGGCTTTGTTTACATTCGGAGGGAGGCTGGCGCAGTTTTGCGCGCGGAATGGCATGCAGCATAACGTGGATGATGTAGAGCAGTGGTTAGGAGATTATATATCGGGATTATCAAGCTGGATCCTTAAGCAAGGTGGCTGGGTGGGTATATTTCATTAATATACATATATATATATTGTATAGTTAAAGCGTGGATTATTTGCAATTAATAGAGTATGTGCATGGCTTGTTCATATCACAGCTTGCATGGCTGTCCTTACAGCAGCTCTAAGTCTCTTGACTTTACGACAGAGTATCTTCGACGTGTAGACCGACGGTACAATTTGCATGATCTAGAATGCTCAATGGAACGTTATCGAGTGGCTGTCAGCCGCAGTAGACCTGAATCATCATCATTAGTCATCGCCAATTGTATGCTATTCAATAATTCAAAGTTAAATTGGCGAAGGCGAAGCAAGTCAAGAACGAAGCATACGATTAATGCGCAGAACGACATCTATTGTGCAAAGTCAGCAAAGCTTGTTTCTTCACCTTCTGTATTATATTCTAAAATGGAGAATTCTAATGCTAATTTTAGCTCGCATTTAGACACATGGAGTGAAAACCTTAAAAATTAAAGTGCATATTTAATAAAATACGCAATTTACGTTATTTAGAGCGAGGTTCTGTCGCAACAAACTGCAAAAGATGCAAATAATATCATGCATATAATCTCGCTTTTCCATGATAACCGACTTTCATTTACAAAAATCTCCAATACGACGAAAAATCGCAAGTTTAATACGTCCACATTTACGACTTTCCTAATACAAAAGTAAAATCACATTAGATTTCGTTTAGTACGTATTTTCATGTTAAATTCTAGATTAATGCTGTTTTTTCCCACAGTAATATCGCACGGTGATGTTGTCATAGAGACGAAGGATCGTGAAAAAATTTCTGCTGTAGAATACATGATTGATGCGTCTGTGGCACATTCTAATTCCCTTTATGGGTAAAGAAAATCAGCCGCATTACCAGAACAATATTTCCATTAGTTTTTCAATTATGAAAACAAATACAAACCAAATGGTTGAAACTACTGCGTTAGGTTGACATGAAATCGAATTACTTGATATGAAAGCCATTTAAAGATTATAAATTTTTTAGATATTGTCAATTTATTGATATCTTCAAAATAGTATTAGTTTATTACTTTAAACGGGTCTGAAGATTCACGTGACTGATAAAAAAATCGATGTAATAGTCCGATTTGCTCTGTGTTAGCCTCAAAACCAGGCAACATATTCTTTTGTTTCATTGATAGCCAAAGAAAACGCATGGAACTCGAAAAGAAAGACAATAGAATTGATTTGAAATCTCACACTTTTATTCTCACAATTAGGAATGTTTTGCGCACAAATGAGGCTAACACAGAGCATTGGAGAATTCGAAACTGGATTATTGCGTTATAGCGAAACTTTATGAATGGCTAAGTATTATAATTGAATAATCACTTGAGATTCAAAGCAGCGGCAACTTCAATCTGAATTGATTAACCTTGAGGAGATAGTGACGTGTGCTTTAACAAATTCAACGCCTTCTTTGGGCGTTTTTTGATGTACCAATTAGCTTGATTTTGCGTTTTGACATTTCAAACTGCGCAGTGGTCTTTTCGGAATGCGTCTGAATCCAATGTAAACTCACTTTGAAGTTCAAACAAATTGGCAACATTCAGTTAAAATACACACATCAATTTGTACAAAGAGATGGCATTCCGTTAAATGACTTAAGACATGTCCAATATAAAATTCTGTCCTTTCGACGTGGGAATTTCTTTAGTGTTCTATAAATTCTATCACATTCAAACGTAGTTCAGCTATAAAACGAATAGAAAAACTTCATTAAAACGAAAAGTGAGTAAAATTMACTTGCTTTCAGCTCCAATTCGTATTTTATTCACAAACAGATTGACATATCTTTTATCAGATGATAAACTTTATATCAACTCAACTTCAACGAGACGTGCAAGTTTTCCATAGGAAAAATACCAGAAGAATGAGCTGGGCGTCACATGTCTTGATGAGTTTTCGAAACCTGACAAGTAAGCACGTACTGTAGAAATTTGGCTGAAGATCAATCGAAAGTGCTAACGTTTGCTCTTTTATCTCGACTTTACTCGCTAAAATTGAACATGATATCCTATTTAGTTTTACACTCTGCACGATCACAGTTAATCGATTTGCAAAAAATCTCTAGAACATTCTAGAAAGGATAGAATACTCTCCCATGATAGTCAGCACGTTATAAAATGCATACCATTCATTTTAAAGCGCTTTTTTTWWAAATAAAACCGCTCAATATCAAAATGAACTTAGTTAAGGCTAGAAATTGTCAAAAAATGTTCAAAAACTGTATTAATTAGAACAGCATGTCTGTTACATAAATATACACGTACTGATTATTATTCATCAGTATCGTTAGGTATACTTTGGTGATAGTCGGCGATCAAATCACGTTAAGATGTTTCAGCCTTGTAATTTTTTATGGATCTTCTGAGATCATGGATCAATAAAACTGTCTTCATTTTCGGGATCTAGAGACAGAATTTTGTAGCCCTAGGTATCAGGATCAATAAAAAATAAATAAAAACCTCGTTAATACCCTGACCAACTTGTAATATTCCGATTGCCAAGTTTTTGAGGAATAATTTAAAAATTTTGAATTTTTTGTCACCAGGAGTCATTCGATAATCATTTCAAAGATCCATCAACACGACAGAAAACAGGATGGTGGACTGGGATCCTACTAGCAACCGTTGGCATAGGAACGCTGGCAACTTTTGTTTACAAACAATGCTAAAGACTGAAGTCATTAGTAACCTTGGCAACTTGTACGTTATTAGCAACTGTTGCAACGAATACATGACGCAATTCTACAAAACCAGAATCTAATTTCAAATTAACCAAAGGGAAAATAGTACAAATAGTACAGGGTCAACATTTAACAGTGATTCAGCAGAAACAAAAGGCAAAGACACTTTTCTGGTGTCATGTTTGCGAAGGACTGCGGGGAACAAATAACAGGTYAAATGAATATCGCCAAAGCAGTTTCATTGACGAAAGGCAAGACAAATGGCCCGAAAGCACCGAAACTCCTTGGTTTCAAAAACTCAATTGGAAAACTCAAGTATCCAATGGACGGCCGATGAAGATGAGAGACTTTGTTTGCTTAAAGGAGTAGAGAAAGAACAGCAAAGAACTTATGAATGATTGAATAGGAAGGACGCAAAGAAGGGACTTAAAAGGACACTATGTACAAAAGAATATGGGACAAAGTGCTAGCAATCAGAGAGGACCCAAGATGAGGGACTTCTAGCAGTAAATAAGGGACAAAACAGGGAGTTCAATGAATTCTGGGTAGCTAGTAGTATTAATAAAATGGGAATATAGACATGTTTTTAACATAGACACGTGACTRAGTCATGTGACCACCTCACGTGATCGAGTCATGTGTCTTTGCTAGAACAAGCACAGCTGAACATTGTACATATAGTTGGGGTATTTATATTCATAAATAGCTAATAAYATAATTTTAGACTCAAAGTCACGTGACAGCCGCCATGTTGGACGACAGAGCAAAAATGTTTCTTCCTTCAACTTCCGCTACACAGGAAACCCAAAGACAACAAGAGAGTGAAGTGTCAAGTGATCGATTCGCATGCTTACGTGTTTCTATTGTTTCTGTGGTTGAACATGGCGGTTTTTTGCGGGATAACGCAAAATAGAGTTAGTTTCACAAATGCAAAGTAGCTAGTTCTCGGGGAAAATAGTTCGGAAATAGATCGCTGAGGTTGACTGGGGCCTATTATACGTTGGAAGTTTCTGCTGATTTTAGACTTCGGTTCAACCGTAGTATTGCTTCATAGGCGGTTTACAGTGCTCGGTTGCGGATTTGGTGATTTTGCAGCGCGGATTCAGTTGCGGTATGATAACCCCCCTTCCCTCCCTCCCCCAATACAATAGGCCCCCATAGAGTGAACATCTCAGGAGATATTTTCGGCTGMCTGCTCTTAGGGATGAACTAGATGGCCGAGTTTTTTACTACGAAAAATCCATATTTAGTATTTTCATCTGACGTACTTTTATATAAAAAAATAAAGCAATCATAATTTTGTAATATATTAAAATATTATCAAAGTTTGTATCTAGAACATTAATAAAAGGAATATACTTCACAAATTGTCATTTTTACGATTAATCAATCGAACAATAAATCTATCATTTGACTGATCAATCGAACAATTAATCAATAAAACGAATGGAATGATCGATCACAATACTCAATCGAACGATCAATCAATCATCTAGATGGCCTGATAAATCATAGAAGATTATAAGAATGTAGTTGTTCGCGGATCGATGATCATTCGTTATAAGGGAATAAATTACAAAGTAATTCATATTAGTCGTCCCTTTGGAGTCAGTATTGAACAGAATTAACAGAATGACAAAACACAATTAGTTCTGTGTTAAAATTAGTTCTGCCAGCGTGACATTATTTTAGCTAGCAAGGTAGTCATGGGAGGACCGGGAACGAATCAAGTGCAGTCATGACACGTTGCTTGTATATGATAACGATGATGATGATGATAATCATATTTAGCTTGTTAACCGTTAATAAGCGATAGATACCATACATGGTAGTCATATCAGATAACTCAGAGATGACCGGCATCATAACGTAGACTACACTTCTATTGCAAGTACTCCTACTCAGCTGAGAGCTAAGATTTGATGATGTTAAAGAGCAGTTTTTTAGAACTTCACAAAGACAAAATCATGAAAGCCTTAAGGCTGATTTACACGGTACGATTTGTCGCGCGCGAATTGTAGTATACGATTTTCCTACTACAAATCGTAGGATTTTAAGCAGTGGTTCAAAGTCCTACTACAAGTCGTAGGTTGCATACGACTGTTGTAGACAAGTCGTAGGGGCATTTACACTGCACGATTCAAGTCCTATACTACAAGTCGTGCGCAACAAATCGTGCCGTGTAAATCAGCCTTTAAAGGCCCATGCATATTAATCGCATAAATATCTTCAAGGCTGCACGTACAGCTTCTAGAAATACCCCAGGCATCCTATAATTTCTTCCATGAATACACCGATATTCAAAATGGCGGCTGTGAAGACAATCAATTCATCACTGTTCCATTTCTACATAATTTACATSAATCAAAACACAGCTTGCATTTCTGAATGCCGATACAACATGATGTCAGGAATGTGAGCAGTGTGCGTTGCTAAGCAACGAGAAATATCAACCTGACAWTCACGTGGGGCGTTATGGTGACGTCATGGTCTGTTGCATAGTCTTTGTCCAAAGCCGGTCCTATAATTATAAGTTTAGACATCAAACCCTATTGAAATATTTAATAAACCACGCTAACCCCTTCAATTAACCAAAAACCACGTYAATAYCATCGATACATTTCTACTTTTCATATCTGCCTTGAATTCYCACCAATTGAAACACATTGATTTGAAAAGCGGTGTATTCAAAGGTATTTTCCTGCAACTTATTTTGATTAGTTGYCCGAGTAGCGCGGTTAAGTCACAAAGTCAATAATACCCCAAGTCTTTTGTTTCTGTTATGAGAGAATACAAAGAAGACACAGTAGGTAATTATACTTCGAAGATCCCTAAAACAAACCGAAAAGCATGACCCTAATRTTTAACTAGAGAAAAACGCATCCATGCGTCGAATACAATTGAAGGTTATTTCACGATATTTACCATTTTCCTCATTAAATACATCGAGTTTAATTGYKTRCGTGTATCTATAATGATATTACCTTAGGGTGGGTGGGGGCTTTTCCAATTAAAACGAGTGCAGTTTCATCGTTTAATTCGTATAATGCTTGAATTAAATCAATAGCCGAATCTTTTGATTCCTGGTCTAAACGCCAAGCACAACAAACGTTAAAGCTAACAGAACACTTGCACGCTTGATTGTTTGTTGGTGGAGTTMATTCGAATAAGGTTTCAAAATCAATAAAATTTTGTGTAATCTTGATCACAGTGTCAGTTTAACGATAGAAAACGAGAAACGTAAAGAAACTATAAAGCTTACAGCATTCTCTAGAGAGCAAAATGTTTTTTATTAGTATTACTTCGAATACCTTCGTTCCTGGTCTACTTTGGCATTATCAACAAGAACAATATGCTAAACTAACTAACAGAAGAATTCCTTAGAAGGAAAATAAACTTTGTTGGTAGATTTATGCCTTTACTGTCAGCCCTAATTTGCTAAGG